TGGTTGTAAGAACTCATGAAATTCTGACCCTCTTGCTTTCCATGCCAATTGCCATGGGGATTCATTTTCCCTGGGTGCTCCCCTGTGTGCTAGTCTGTCTGTTGCCCCTCTCCATAACCACAGCTCCCTCCCCACTGCAGTGGCCATGATCTGTTTCTCTCCCAAGCCACATCTCTGCACTTCTACCTTCTTTGATGTGGCTTCTTCTCTCTCATTAGTTGTGGAGTTTGTTCTGCCAGTCTTCAGATCAATTTCTGGGGTATTTAGGATGAATTATCTAATTATATTCATGGGATGAGGTGAACCTAGGGCCCTCCTACTCCACTGCCATCTTCCCCACTCCCACCCCCCCTTGAATTTTCAGTTTTAGATATGATGTGGTTTTCTGTTGTGGAGGAAGGCACTTTCTCTTGTTTCCCCCCAGTCCCCATGAAAAGTTCCTCTTCCCAGCCTCAGAAGGCAGTAATATCCCAATATTTGGTTAAGTCATTGTCAAACCTGTATCATTTTAACCAGGACATGTTGTTCATAGCCAGTTCTGTGTAGTGGGGCCAGATTTAATTTCCTCACTTGTACATGTTTTGTTTTTGCTTGTGTTTTTCCTTTTTTAGAGTTAACAATTGCTTCTTATGTTTATTTGCATCTTTCTCTGTGTACCTATCATTAAATCTTCTCCAAATCCTCTGACTAATTTATCCCCAAGCTCCACTCAAGAGGGTTGAACATGTCAGGTCATCTACCAGCTTCCTTTATTTGGTGGAAATGTCTATCCAAGAGCTCCCTCTATTTGTGGGCTGATGTCTGCTGTCTATTCCCTTGGCTGCACAGGTGCATACATAGGTGTCATCCAGGGATGTCCTCTCACCATTGTCTTTGGATTTTCCTCCATCTCTCTCCTACCATGGGCTTCTTATTTCCTGAATGTGGTGTCCTTTCCTTTCTGGGTTTATGTCTTTATTTGGGTGGAGCACACCCTCTGGCAGCTTTCTGAAAATGGGTGCATGGGAGATAAATTTTTGAGCATAGCATAACTAAAAATGACCTTATTCTGCCCTTATTCTTGATTGATAATTTAGCTGGGTATAATTTTCTGGATTAGAAGAGTTATTCCTTAGAATATTTTGTTGAAGACATAGAATATTTCCAGAATTTCAAATGTTCCCTTGTGCTGTTTCTCAGTTAACCCGCCTCCCCCAAGGAGTCACTACTCCACCTTCTTTCCCCATGGATTGTTTTTGACTGTTCTATCTACTCCTTAGTTTATGGCTCCTTTTGCTCAACAGAATGTCTGTGATAAGACCCATGTGGCCGCAGATTCAGTAGTTCATTCATTTTTTTTTGCTGTGCTACAAGTTGCTACATTAAACCTTGCTATGCATTATTGATTCATTCTCTTTCCCAATAATAAAGATTTAGATTATTTTCAGAATTTGGCTAATATTAATGATGCTGCTATAAAAATTCTTGTGCATTTTGTTTTGGGTGGACATATTTGCCAATCTTTCTTCAGTGTGCACCCACAAGTGGAATTTCTGGGTCGAATGATAGGCACATGGGCAGTTTAGCTTATGTTTTGTCCAACGGTTTTCTAAAGATATTTACATTCCCACTGGCCAATCTTATGACTTGTAGTCACTCTATGTCCTTTATAAAATGAGGTATTGTCAGTCTTTTAAAATTTTACCCATTTTGGAAATGGTGTAGCGATACCACATCATTGCATTAATTTACATTCCCTGATGACTAAAGCTGCTCACTGAATATTTGGATATCTTTTTTTTTTTAAGATTTTATTTATTTATTTGAGAGAGAGAATGAGATAGAGAGAGAGAGCATGAGAGGGGGGAGGGTCAGAGGGAGAAGCAGACTCCCTGCTGAGCAGGGAGCCCGATGCGGGACTCGATCCCGGGACTCCAGGATCATGACCTGAGCCGAAGGCAGTCGCTTAACCAACTGAGCCACCCAGGCGCCCTGGATCTTTTCTTCTGAGGTGCATGTTCAAGTCATTTGCTTGGTTTTTTAAAAGTAAGATTATTTGTATTTCTCATTGACTTATAAAAATTTATTATATATCCCAATGTGAGTTAATTGTTGTATATATACAGTGGTGTGTGATAAATGCTTAATAACTGGCTCTTTATAAAACAAAACAAAAAAAGCTCTGATTTGTTCCATGTGCCAGTTCTTATGGTATAGTTACACCACAGCTCTCATTGTGATGTTCTGAACACAGAACTGGGAAGAACTGATACAAGTTCTTCAGCACTCCCTTGGTATGAGTGTTACACACAACTCTTCCAAGTCAGGGACTTGTTTTTCTCATCCTCTTGATGGTGTCCTTTTTAAAAAGTCAACTTTATTAAAGTATGATTTACACACCCTAACATGTACCTATCTAAAGTTTCTATTTGCTTAGTTTTGGGAAAATATGTACCTGTGTGCCACTGCCACAAGCAAGATACAGAACTTCTCCATCATCCCGAAAATTTCCCATGTGTTCTTAATCCCACCCCATTGGACCCTGGCCCCAGGAAACTACAGAATTCCTTCCCATCTAGGTCAGATTTGTGTTCTCTACCGTTTCACATAAATTAAATTATATAGTATGAACTCTCAGGGTTTGGTGTCTTCCCCGAGTATATTGAGATATATAAATATGTATATGGTTGCCTTCTTTTTGTGCTGAGTAGTATTCCATTGTGTGTATATAACACAATTTGTTTATCCACTCAGCTGTTGATGCACATACGGCTGGTATGAACATTCATGAACAATTTTTTGTGTGGACTTGTGTGGCTACTTCTCTTGGGTAAAAAGCCAGGAGTGGGATGTCTGGGCCACATGATTGGTGTATGATTGAGAGACTACCAAACCAGTTCCAAAGTGACCATACCCATTTACATTCCCTCTAGCAAATGTGTATGTTTCAGTTTCTCCACATCCTCGCTGACACTCAGGGTAGTTAGACTTTCTAACTTGAGGCATCCTAATGGATGTGTTGTGATATTCATTGTGTCCTTTGATGAATAGTAATTTCTAATTTTAATGAAGTCCAGTGTAATGACTCTTTCTTTTTTTTTTTTTTAAGACTTATTTATTTATGTTTGAGAGAGAGAGAGAGTGTGAGAGCGTGTGAGTGGGGGGAGGGGTAGAGGGATAGAAACTTCAAGCAGACTCCCCACTGAGCAAGGAGCCCAACATGGGGCTCAGTCCCACCACCCATGAGATCACGATCTGAGTCAAAACCAAGAGTTGGACACTGAACTGACTGAGCCACCCAGGTGCCCCTGACTCTTTCCTTTTATGTTTAGTGTTTTTGACATCTTTGCCTACCACACGTTGTGAAGATATTCTCCTGTGTATCCTTTTGGATCTCCACTATTTTACCTTCTGCACTAAGCTCTAATATTCTTGCCCTCCAAACATTAATTTTGTGCATGATGTGAGGAAGTAGGCAAAGTTTGTTTTCCCCATACAGACACCCAGTCAGCTGCCTTCTTTTTGTGCTGTGATCTGGTTGTCCATCCTCCTACTGAAGGGCATCTCATGGTGTTTAACATTTAGGCCCTCCAAACTCTGTGGTGAACTAATCCACATCTTTTTGATGCCTTTTATGTGCACACACGTGAGGTCTTCTCCAGGAGAGCCGCCCTGGGGTGTAGGATGTGCACCTTTTCAGCTTTTCTGGATGTACCAACTTGCTCTGAAACATGAAGACTCTCACCTGCAGCACAGAGCAGACCTTGTTTCTACCCTCCCAGACTTGCTTGCTGTCATCAGACTCAAACATTTCTGCTAGGCTGATGGGTCTAGGAGTCCCCAGGATTTGGTGATTTGCTAGGGGACCTCCCAGGACTCAGCACACAGAGCAAAATCAGCCCCGGGCAAAGGTGCATGGGGAGAAGCCGGGGGATACTGGGCACACATTTCCAGAGCTCTGTCCATTCACACAGGACATGCCTAACCCCAAAGCCGGGAGCTGTGACAACATGTAGGATGTGTCACCCCCAGGGAGCTTGTCAGAGGTCAGCACCTAGGGTTTTTATCAGGGCCGCGTTATGTGGGCACCCTCTGCCTGGCTTGTATGAAAATTCCAGATCCCCAGGAAGAGTGGGTATTTAGCACAAGCCATAGTATTTGTACAGTTTATGCCCAGTGAGGCCCTCCTATCATATGGGTGGAAACCCTCCCCAAATCCACATTCCCAGACACCACCCAAGGGCCCACCTTGTGAACAGGCCTAAGGACAGCTGTCCCTGGCCTGTCGTGCTGGCTCTTAACTACACGGGCCTGTGGAGTCCATCCTTCTGGAGTGCGGGGGCTGGAGACAGTCTGGGTTCAGGGAAGTCACGTCTGAAGGGTGGCTCTTCCCCAGGCGCTGCCATCAGACTATTCAGCCTGTATGTCCTTGAATGTGTGTCCACATGCCAGACATACATGTCACTGGAGGCACCTCCTGGACTCTACTGAAGGGCAGGAACGTGGCGGCTGGGGGATAACCACAGACCGCCCTTACGTGGGGGGTGTCGGGGAGGGGTCTTTGTTGGAAACCACAGACATGAAATCTGGTTAAACCAATCAAAATATGAATTTATTGGAGGGATTGACAGCTCACAGAGTGAAGGGTGATGGAGGAACCAGTTCAGGTGTCAGTGCAGGGGCCTGGGCTACACCGGGTCCAGTGGCAATGACGAGACACAGCTCTGGAGGAGATATCTGATCTTCTCTCCCTTCACTGCACATACAGTTCAAAGGCTTGGGGGAGCCCAGCTGGCCTTGCTGGGGTCACTGCCAACCCAGGGGAGGAGGCAGGGCATGTTGACTTGGGAAAAGTTAGTACTTGAGGAAAGTCAGCGGGACAAATGCACAGTGGGGAATGGGTGACCAGTGTCCACTGCAGGGCCCAGGGAAGGGGACTAGACACTTGTCTTGGTGCTTAATAAAAAATCCAGGCTGTGCAGATGAGCTCTTGAGCTTTGGAGTTCCCTTAAGAAGATCACTCAGCAGGAGGACTTCTGGGCCGAGGTGGGCACGCAGCAGGCTTGGCGGGGGCCCATGGGTCGGCAGAGCAGGGACACACAGGAGGCCTGGCGGCAGCAGCTGGGCTGGCAGAAGGAGCTGGGCACGCAGCAGGCGGGGCTGCACACAGGCCGGCAGAGCAGGGACACACAGGAGGAGGGTCTGCAGCAGGACGAGGAGCAGGGGCTGGGCTGGCTGCAGGAGGGGGCTGAGCAGGGGGAGGTCTCACAGCAGACAGGGGTGCAGCAGAGGGGCTTGCAGCAGACAGGGATGCAGCAGATGGACGCACCGCAGGCTTCCTGGCAGGGGGAGGAGCTGCAGCAGGAGGGCTGGCAGCTAGACTGTTGGCAGCATGAGGTGGCTGAGCAGGGGGAGGCCTGGCAGCAGACAGGGGTGCAGCAGAGGGGCTTGCAGCAGGCAGGGGTGCAGCAGACGGGCTTGCAGCAGACAGGGGTGCAGCAGACGGGCTTGCAG